TTGACATTGCGTTGCTATGCCAATCACTCTGACGGGCTCCTTGCAGACAGCTGAAATGAAACAATACTTATAGAACCAAAGTCCCCCGCACGTGATTGGACTCTGGCATTCCTATTGAAATGCTCCGAGCAGTATGTGCTCGTATATGATTGGTCGATTTGTCTCAGCTCCCTGCTGTTGGCACAAACCCCAGCGTGCTTCACTGTACACGAAAGACCATGTTGTCGTTAGGTCTGCCAGTTGAACAGAAAGACTGCTTAGTCATCTCCTTCCGAGAGGTAAGCAGCTAGAAAGACAGCCTTATGTGGAAAGGATTGACGCAAAACTGACATGAATGTGAAACACGTGCGTTTACTATCGAGGACCAAGATATTTTATTCAGTAAAGGGCACCTGATAATGTCCTACAGAGCGCAAATCTTTTCTGTCAGAGGATGGAGAGATATTCAAGTCACTACTTTGTTCTTTTCGGCTTGGCTTTTTACTTCGAAAGCAATCAGAACATAATGTATCGAGTCGAGACCAACTTAGTCTGATAAGTAGAGAAGGAGATGGGCATTATGGAGGGAACGAGTGTGTCAAATGTCTTCAGGTCAAAACCGCAACCGGTACTTTCAGTCATATCCAACAGGCTGTGTGCAGTTGGTGAAGTCCCAGTACGATTGCGAATAGAATGCCGTAAATTACAGAAAATTGGTTGAAGTATCAGGACTCGGCAGTGGGAAGTCAGCAAGACACGCGTCTGAAATTAGCACCTGCGAGGGAAACGCGGTGAACGCATCACGCAAATGGGAAGGTTACGATCTCGAGGCTAAAGATCACGGCCATGAAAAATGCCCTTTCTATCTCTAATTGTAGTATGATCAGCGTTTTCACTTGGCTGTCCTCTCTGTCTAAGTTAACAAGAAAATACTTTCGTTTTCAAGCAGTCTCCTTTCTAGACCTTTCACAGAAGCTAACTTCATTGGCGTTTTTGATTCTCGAGTAATTATGCCTCATTTTCAGGATTCAGTAACTCTCACCAGCGCCTGTAGTACAGGAAAGTACTAAATCTCTTAATCCGCAGTGTGTATTTGTGATCCTATTGGTCGGGAGTTCAGCCATTCGGCGCTCCAATCCAAGTGTCATCGATTGCTGATAGCTTCAACAGAACAGCCTACGGTATTTGCAGGCGCAATGAAAATCGTTAATCCGGTGACTCAGAGGACGCCTTTAGATAGCTGTAAAAGTAGCAAGCACACTGCACGGTCTATCACGATAAAACATTCGGGATTATCTACGATGTTTTATGGCCGGCTTTAGCTAGCGCGGCTCCCGTCGAAAAAGGAAATATGAAAAAATATAACATGAATATTTATAAGACGAAGATGCGATCACCGGAACTGGTCTGACATTTCGGATTCGGGACTCATAGCCGAGGCAGTCCCACAACGGTTGGATTCGCTGGTTTTCCTACACCACAGACCGAAATTCTGGGCTCGGTATGTGGATGATAGCTTCGCCGTCATCGAACGGGATCAGGTGCTGGAATTCAAAGAACATCTCAAGGTCGTCTTCCCGGACCTTCAATTTACGATGGAGGAGGAAGAAAACAACCAGTTGGCCTTCCTGAATGTCCTCGTCTGCCGCAAAGATTGTGGTGGCCTAAAAACCAAAGTGTTCACGAAAGCGACAAATACGACGCAAATACTGAACTTCAATAGCAACCATCCGATCAGTCACAAACGCAGTTGCGTAAGGTCGCCATACCGGCACGTTGAGGCGCACTGCAGTGAAATGAAAGACAAGGTTGCTGAATTACAATATCTTCGACGGGTACTGAGAGCCAATGACTGCCCGCGCAACTTTGTCAACCAGTGCATACGAAAACGACATCAGAGAGCAAATTCAACCGGCCCCAAATGTTGGCGGGCTCTTCCGTACGTGAAGAACGTCTCGAAGGCTATCAGTCGTCTTCTCACTCCAGGCCGGAAGCAACCATTAGGCGCCAAGTCATGAGGCCAAAATACCCGCTTCCACGGCAGGAAACGTCTGGAGTCGTTTACCGGATCTGGTGTAGTTGCAGACAAAGCAACTATTTCGGAGAAACTGGGTGCTTACTCAGTACGCGAATTGCCGAGCACGCAGCAGCAGTGAGGCGGGGAGACGCTAGCTCTCAGGTGGAGGCTCATTCGACGGGACCCGGCCATATTTTGAAGTTTCAAGAGGCCGAAATCCTCGCAAGGGGTGACAACCGCGTGAGCCGCGAAATAGTCGATTCGTGGTTCTCAGGCCCGCAATCCATCAACAAGGGCGATGACCTCCCGTTACAATATTCCGTTCTGAGATTTTGCCTGCGCAAAGGAATCAGTCACGTGCGAAGGGCGCGTGCAAGCAAGTAGTCCAGTGACAGTGAGCCAATTTATCGAGCAATCGTCGCGCCAGCATCCAACGTGGATGGCGAAATCGCGGAAATTAACGACTCGGACGCGGACTGACAAGCCACCATCGCGTCAATCACCACCCCAGCGGTGATTGCGAGAGCTGTTAATGACAGTACGCATATAGTCCCACTGCAGCCACGTGATATAAATACTGCATTCCTTGTGCCACCATTATCCTTTTCTGCGAATGTCTCTGATGATGGATTCGAGTGGGAATCCAAAATGTCAGGCCAATAAGTTTCTTGTTCCAGTGATCGCATCTTCGTATTCTGAACTGCTTCCTAGAAGTCGCCCTTTCGCTTCTATCAGCATACATATTTATTGGCTAGGACTTGGAAAATAACTCGTTGGTATTAAAGACTCCGTGTGCCTACCATTTTCAGTTTCCATTGCCTGCTCATACGGGAAGACAAAACCTCCTCACAGAAACGTTCAACTTCAATACATGCAGGCATAAAAGTAAACACTTCCATCCGGCTAGCACAGAGACCGTCACATGTGTGCCTAATTGGGCTTACAGACACTTGATGCACGACTGTCTTAGACACCAACGGAGTCCACTAAGGATTGCAGTATGCGCTCAATATGGGGAATGGCTTAAAAACGCGTCGTAGACTGCTTTCCACACTCTGTTTGAGACTGAGTTTCCACTGGTACGTGAAAAGGACTATGTCTTGACATCGGGTCTCAGTAGGGGAGGAGGCGAGAGTGAGGTGGATGCTTCGCAAGTGTACTATAACTATAAACCACTTCTTGATCAAGCTACTGTTCCTGAAGCAAACCGTGGACATCGTCGCAATCGACGATCAAGTTGACAATACGCAAAAATGGCAGGGTGAGGAGGTGGAGTCAACGTTGCATGTATGCTCTGTGCGCCCATATGTCATGCACTTTCCTCTATCATGAGTAACCTGACGCACTTTCACGCCATTAAGATAAGCCAAGCAACGCAGATCGTAAGACCATAAATGCTAGGTCTAATCGTGTTCTCCCTCAAACCAGACTATGGGCAGAAGTGACTCGTACTTAATGTGACCTCTCCGGCTATCGATTTCAGTGGGAGGTCAGAGTGCCTTATAATCTCTCTTTCAGGCCCGTTCATAGGCCATTGGCTTGTTAGATCCCAGTACTGTAACCATAACTCATTCACTGAAAACTTCTTAGCAGCGAAAAATCATAAGCATAAGTACGTGATGCTTTCATCTCTTCCACAAAGGGCTTTGGATCAATTACCCTTCTTGTGTGGTAGATGAGGTTACCCCTGGCGTGTTTAAATACCAATGACGTTACTTAATGGCAGATTAACGTCACATCTGATGGTATCCACCGTGTGCTCCACATTAAGGTGAGAGAAGGCCTGATAACTTGCACGTAAATTAATCTATAGTGAGTGTAGGCAGAATAGTATTACCGATAAAGACAAGGGAGACTGGAATGGCCATTTCTGGCTTATTAGCCGTCGTCAGCCAGCCATACCCAAGCCCGAAGTGTGGAACGGCCGAGCCTCGAACTCGCGACCTGTTGGTTTAGAAGTCCACGCCTCTATCCACCGGGCCACGAGCCCGTTGCCTTGTCGGTTTTCGATCGGGAATATACAATGGTAGGGGGCGCTCGTGGCCCGGTGGATAGAGGCGTGGACTTCTAAACCAACAGGTCGTGAGTTCGAGGCTCGGGTGTTCCACACTTCGGGCTTGGGTATGGCTGGCTGACGACGGCTAATAAGCCAGAAATGGCCATTCCAGTCTCCCTTGTCTTTGTCGGCAATGCCATTCTGCTTATGTATCATGCGCCGCTGTGCGGCTGCTGGTTGGGCTCGAGAGAGAGCCCTTAAGGCGCAACGGAACGAGTGAGTTCTGTATGAACGATCGGCAAGCGCCCCCTACCATAGTGAGTGTAGACTTGCGCCGCACTTACCCCACTCTCCCCTACCCCTCCCCACCTGGGGTAGGGGATATAGGCGAAAATGCTGACCCCTGGTATTGAAATTGAAGAAGATGGTAAGGCGGGCTCGGGGAATGATAATTTATTCATCTAGCGTTTCACACTCATACTCGAGCGCATTATCGGAGATAGGAAATATGAGAAAACTGCACGGTTTAGATAGGTCCCTCTCGCTCGCCCCTGATAGGGCCATCAAATACTATCCTCATTGGTCCTCCCCTGGTGCGTAAGTGGCGGCCTCGTATGGTGCCGGTAGGTCGACGCTGTGGTTGATGGAGTTGGCGTCTGTTTGCCAGGCCTCGATTATGTCTCGCGCCAGTCTGTTTTTCGCTCGGCCGAGCACTTGGGCACAGTCAAAGTCGAACATGTGATTATTTTCCAGACTGCGCATGGCGACGTGTGAGCGTGCATCTTTCCGCTTGGCGGCTAAAGTGTGCTCATGCATGCGCTTTTTAAGTCGTTTGTTTGTCATGCCGCAGTAGTTGGCCTGACAGTCTAGCAAGTTGACGCGGTAAATGACACCTGACATGTCCTCAGGGTGCAACCTACTCTTAGGCTGCATGACTAATCGGCTGATAGTGGCTTCCGGTCGGTGTCCAACGCCCACGCTAAGTGGTCTTAGCATACGCTCAGTGGCCTCAGAGACGTCCCTCATGTAGGGCAAGTCACGGAGTACCTCAGGTTTTTGGTTCGGCTCATCGTCAGTCTTTGTGTGTCTTTGGAACAGACATTTGTTTACGAAGCTACGTGGGTATGCATTGACAAGGAAGAGGTGCTGCGGGGACGCACGCTCTTGTAGCTTATCGGCCTTTGTGCTGCAGTGCGTGTTGATGCGGCGGAAACGTGTCCGGACGCAACTGCGTTTATGCGACAGGGTGTGGTTGCTGTTGTAGTGGACTATTTTCTCTGTGTTTGTAGCTTTTCGGAAAACACCGGTCTGGAGGGCTCTATCTTCCTGCTTTGTTACTCGAACGTCGAGGAAAGAGAGCGTTCCCCGCCGAACGACGCGGGTTTAATCACATGTAGGTCGAGTTACCCGCCCAACCAATATGAATTATTTAAGATTTGCCAAAATATCTATGAATTACATGAGCCTGGTAGTCACCTGGTGGATTCTAGGTGCATTACTTAGGAAATCCTGCTTGGGCAGTCAACTTACTGTATCAGATTTAGTGGATTCCAGACGTTGCAGTAGATTGGGCGGGCAGCTTAACCCAAATGTGATTAAACTCGATTCTTCCGGCGGGGCCTCGTAACTCAAGTTGTTAGACCCTTGACTGTACTAAAGCCTTACCCTTACCGCGTGGGTTCGAATCCCACCGAGGCGCTGAGTTTATCACAATTGGGTCATTATGAATTATTCAAAATCTGCCAAAATATCTATTAAGAAAAAAAGCTAGTTTTAAAAATGGGGATTTTGAATAAGCCTCCGATGGTAAGTTTACACTCAATCAGGCAGCCAAACCGATTCCAGCCAATATGCACAACGTACGACAAGTAATCTTCTCATTCCCACTTTTTTAGCGTACGTGTGTCAGTTATCAATAAACGATAGAGAACCCAACATGAGACAGTCTCTGAATGCAACATTAAGCCGGTGCAATCTATGTACTCACAAATACCGTTGCATTCTATTAAAGGTACCTGATGAAAAGTACAGACAGATGTTTAAGAGGTAAGTTTACGGAACCATGAGCTTTATAGTGGTAACTGGCAACGTATAGATGCAGATATTGTGAAATCCAAAGTGACTAGGCTGACACGCAGTGTAAATGGGAAATGTGTATCGGAGAAGATTATTTTTTGTAAGTAATTGTTTTTCCTCCTACAATTGTAGACCATCAGCTGCAGCAAACAGGAAAATTAAATCGCGTCCTCGGTGACGTACAAAAACTGAGGAAGTAATGGAGATTATTAATTCAGGGAAGATTGTGAAGTACTGTCAGGCCAGACGCTCACTGCCAACCATGCTACCTTGCTAATGCAGGCAGGAAATGCGGTTGCAAGTCCGGAAGCACAGCAAGGATGGCTATGTGATCGGGTGTGCACGATGCAGAGAAAGGAAAGCACTTAGAACTGGCTCGGTTTCTGAGATAAGTCGATAAGAAATGGGCAAAACTAAACAGCTTTGGCTGGTATTAAGGGTCACTAAGTACCTAGAAGATGTTGGAATGTGTTGCACGCCGACTGTCGAATGGTATGCGCTTTGCCGGAACGTCTGCTCCTCGGCCCTCATGAGGAAAACCGGTCAGGTTGGAGGTGCCGGAATGCAAAGTGACGAAACGTTCACTAGCCGTCAAAAGTAGAATGTTGAAATGTTCAAAGTAAATGAATGTCAACGTGAACGGTTTGTCGCCGCAGTGTGAACGAATGCTTGTATATAAGGTCGGTCCGAGTCAACTGCCTTCTCACACGTTTGACTTAAGTCGCGGTTACATAAATTCTCAGCGCGGGGTAATGTCTGCACTCATCGCGGTAAATGGAGGTAGCCGGAATGATACAATCGTTTCTCGGCTCTCTGAACTAAGCCTATGGCAAGTACAGTGAGTGACCCATCTCATTAAATGTTGATCAAAATTCTGAAATGTGTTTTCGCTGAAGAAGGATTACTTAGGCGCTGATGTAATACTGATTATCTTTCGGTATAAGCTTGCAATATTTCGGACTAGGCAGGATGTCGGCTTTTAAATACACTTTTTTTCAATCTTCTGTGGAAATCGTGCTTTGGCAAAAAATGACTACTGAAGTAGTATGCGCCTTTCACATTTATTTTTGATGATTTTGTTGAATTCAAATATATTTTCCAAAAAAACTGTTAAAAAAAATATTCTTCCTTTTACTCATTTGATGGAAGATCATGTCAACTTTATCATTTTGACTTAAAGAAGGAGTATAATGCGGTTTTTAGAAGTATTTCTAATCCCTGGATAATTTGGCACCTGATCAGCCGTTGCATTAGCGCCTAGCGATTTCAGTCTACAAGGTTAATGTGCTCCGCGTAAGGAAAACCATATATTCTTCTTTAAAACGATACCATACTGGATCCATAAAATTTTGCGATGGATACGGATTATGTTGTATATTTCATGAGCAGCAAATTTGAACGGACAGGTACAATCCTGTATGAATGGATATTGCACAGTCTCAAAAAAATCTCATTGTTAGAAACTTTTTGAACCCTAATTCCACTCCTTCTTTGAGTATAAATAATACAGTTGAAATCATTCTGCATCAAAAGAATGAAAGGGAGAATATTTTTGATCCTTTTTTGCAAAATATTTTGAATTTATAGGACCATCAAAAATCAGTCTGAAAAGTGCATACTACTTCATTAGTCATTTTTTGCCGACCGCAGTGTCTACAGAAGATTGAAAAGAAGTGTATTTAAAAGCCGACAACCTGCCAAGTCCGAAATATTATAGGATTATGCCAAAAGGAAACCAGTATTACAACCCCACTTAAGTAATCCTTCCAAATCGAAAATACATTTCAGAATTTTGGTCAACATTTCAAGAGATCGGTCACTCACTGTACATGCGAGGTGCAGGTTAATATTCACATTCGCCTCGCTACCGGTAGGAGACAAAGATATTACGATCGCTTCTCAACTGTCTGAGTTTAGGTCATGGTGAATTAGGGTAAGGTGAGGATTAGCATCTGCGATGGACGATTGGAGCTCTACGGTCGCTTCTATACTCTCTGAGCTAAGCTCGTGGAATGTATCTGCAAATTGAATCCTGACGTCTGCAATGAAAGATCGAAGCGCTACGATCGCTTCTGAAATCTCTGACCTTAGCTCATGGGAAGAAATGGCAAACTGAAGCAGTAGCTCCTAGGACGGATGAAAATGCTAAGTAAGCTAGTAAGTTATTGAAATCCATACGGAAAATGTATGCTATAAGGCAGCTCAAGCGAAGGCAAACTCCGTGTCTAGAGCAGCATACAAAAACCGAAGACATACCTAAACAAGCATAGTAGCCAGTGGTAGGGGGCGCTCACCGATCGTTCATACGGAATTCACTCGTTCCGCTGTGCCTTAAGGGCTCTCTCTCGAGCCTAACCAGCAGTCGCATAGCGACGCATGATATATAGGCAGAATGGTATTACGACAAAGACAAGGGAGACTGGAATGGCCATTTCTGGCTTAAAAGCCGTCGTCAGCCAGCCATACCCAAGCCGGAAGTGTGGAACACCCGAGCCTCGAACTCGAGGCCTGTTGGTTTGGAAGTCCACGCCTCTACCCACCGGTCCACGAGCGCCCCGGCTGAGCGTCCCTAACATTGTATATTCCCGATCGAAATCCGACAGGGCAACGGGCTCGTGTCATATGGCCTACGAATGGAAGAGAATATGCGAATTTGAGGATCCTGTGTAAAAGAAGACAAAGACGCAAACGCCGGGACGGTGGCTTTAGCAGTCTGATCTTTCGAACTTGAATGGGAGTTAAGCATCAAAGACCGTTGGAGGGCAACAGCGTCTGAGCATTTACACAGTAGTACCGTGAGGTTTGGGGGAAGGTGGTTACGTCCACGGTTGGGTCTGGTTCGCGCCACCTGATCCACAATGGTCTCACGGCGTGCAGATGGCATTTGGCCTTGACAGCGATGTGAGTTGCGCCACATGGTTGCGTGGGCGTCAAGCGGGAGGGCTAAGTCCGTAAGTTTACTAATGGTGTTGGTGTCTGACACCCACGCCTCCAACGGTTCCTGCCACGACTTTCTGTCGGCCCGCGTCAGTATTCGCGTGCTGCCGAAGTCGAACTCATGGCCTTCGTCCAGCATGCGAGCGGCGACTTGAGACAGTAGGTCGCCTCTTCAATCATCCCGCATGTGCTCGAGTGTTCGCGAGCTGAGGCGTCGTACTCTAATGGCTTATTATAATTAATGAAAACATCCTAGGACGTGTTCCGTTTATTAGTTATTTAGTGCATGGGGATATGTAAAGCAAGCATATTTGAGAATCGTTTGCCGTGAAATCAAAAAATTAGGTTACATCATCTTCTAATTCAGAGTATTTCTCTCAGCTAATGTGATAGATGCATTGAAACCACGAAAGCTGAGGCATGAGAATATATTCTTTTAATTAAGCAAAAGCGTTCATTTTAAAAATTGAACTAAGTGTTTCTTAGAGGTAGCGTCTGAGATAGCGGCAGCAGTGCCAGCGTACAGAGCCCTGTGTAGTCACCTCCAGTCTTGCGCCGTCGGTCGATGATAGGCCTGCATGCCTTATAACTGTCGCTTGTTCTGCTGCGGCCGCTACCTCTGACGATGGACTCCTGTTCTAGTCTGAAAGCTCAGGGAAATAAACACAGTGTTCCGGTGTTCGACTAAAAAGTCGTGGTTTGGAAGGGTGCCAACTACGAGATAACTCAGGCCTCACAGTCAGCCCAGCTTTTGTTTGTGATAAGCGATGGACTAGTGAATTGGGTCAGGCCGCAACGACTCCTCTATGACAGTCTCTCCCAGTGGTATCCAAGCCGCCTCTCAATGTCTTTCTTGATGTAAAACCCTGTTCCGTGTAGGTAGTGGACTAAGAGGTGTGGTCGTACGCCTATGTGCGGGCTGTCGCCCCCATGCCAGCCACCTGCGCCCCTCCCCTCTGGTTTTCTTTACTCTAACTCGATGCCGGATCCAGGCAGGAGAGGGGGAAAGAGTG